CCGGGGGCGCTTTCCCTGGCCCCTCGATCGCGGCGGGCGCCCAGGCGCGGACCCCGGGGCACCCGGCAGCGGCCACCTCTCCAGCCACACCCCCTCCCCAGCTCCGATTGGCCGCCTGCTCACGTGGTTGGCCAACACGTCACGCTGATTGGGCCAGGGGAGATCGATCCAGACGCAATTGGTCCAATGGAAAGTCGGAAGGCGGGATGAGCGGCAGTCGTGAGGAGCGCATGCGTATTTCTTGCCGATGAAGTTCTCCAGGCCAGGAGGAAGGGAGCGGGCAGGTGCGAAGGAGCAAGTGGCGTGGGCGGGGGAGGCGCTCCGCCGGGGAGCTGCATACTAGAGTCGTGCTCCGTACCGCGGTTAGCGGCTCCCAGCAGCTACATGTCAGAGCAGAGCTTCTCAGACCTCATTGCACCCTAACCCGCTTCCCACAGCAAAAATCCCAGCACGACCCCAGAGTCTATCCAATCCCCGCCGGCGGGGGGGAAAGCAAAGTCAAAGCTGCTAACCTGAGCCTACTCAGGGCTGATGCTGATTCCTGAGCTTGACTGCCCTGGACTGAATCTCTGGGGCTTCCACTTTGGCCGTGGGTCTCAGATTCCAGCATGTCTGATGTCAGCTCTGGTGACCCCATTAAAAGAAGTAACAACCCACTTTAGAGTCCTGACCAATGTTCTCTGTAATTTTGTCCATCCATATGTGGAATAAAGTTTGTTATGTGCACTGAGGCATGTGTGGATGTGCACCACCAGTAGAAAGTGGTTGCAAATGATAAGAGACTGATCAAAGTAAGTTACTAAACAAAACATGACAGCTTAACAATAGTTCTAATTATCTTTTTCACAAGCCAGGCATCCTCCTAGCTTGGGCCTGATCCTTCTCCCTATTCAGTCTCAGATGTTTCCAGCAAGTATCTTGGGTGGCAAGAGAGATCTGATAACTGCCTCTATTGTTTGTTTTCCTACCTTAATATCCCTTTTGCCCAAGCAGGAATTCTTTGTGTTCAGTTCAAACTTTTCTCCCATGAGTGGAAAAGTACCAGATCCAAAACAGGTTCCAGCATCACTGGCCAAGCTGTATGTCCTGGCATGACCAATCACAATCCAGGCTAACAGGAAATACAAGACTATTCACAGGTCATTGGTTTGAGTACTGAGTTATGTTTCTGGATTCAGGGAAGTAGTCATGTTGGCCTGTTTCAGCAAAAACAACAAGGAGTCTGGTGGTACTTTAAATAGTAATATATTTACTAGGGCATTGATTAGAGCATAAACTTATTGAGCTACAACTCACTTCCTCAGATGCTCAAGAGAAAAAGAAAGGGGGGGGGAGGGTAGGAAGGCTAGAGATGGGAGTGCAACATGAGTGCTAATAAACCAGAATGGATGTGACTCATCTCCAACAGCAGTGGGAAGGCAAGAGTACCTGAATGGGAAATTACCTATTGTAATGCGAGAACCACTCCATGAGTTTATGTAGACCTTGGCTCAGGGAGTCAAAGTTTGCATATGAATTCCAGCTCAGCAATTTCTCTCTGCAGTCTATTTTTGAAGTTTTTCTGTTTAACCGCAGCTTGCTAGTCCAAAACTGTGTGCCCAGGGTAGGTTAAAGTGCTCCCCCAGAGCACGTCTAGACTACCCTTGGCTTCCAAAAGTAGATATGCAAATTCGGTGCAAATTTGCATGTCTTCTTTGGATCCCTTTTTGAGAAGAGGTTTTTTTGAAAAAAAAAAAAAAAGCAGTCTAGATGGGTTTTTTCATGCAACCCCCCCCTTTTTCGAAAGAACCCTATAAACCTCATTTTGGAGGAATAAAGGTTATTTAAAAAAGGGGGGGTGCGTGAAAACCCCTTTCTAGCCTGCTTTTCCTGAAAAACCTCTTCCGAAAAAGGAATTGGAAGACGATATGCAAATTCACACCAAATTTGAGGGTAGTCTAGACATGCCCCCACTGGCTTTTGGATGTTGCCATTTGTAATCTGATTTGTATCCATTTATTCTTTTGCGTAGAGACGGTCTGGTTTGTCCGATGTACATGGGAGAGGGGCATTATTGGCACGATGGCCTATCCTAGTGATGCTATCAATATCATGGACCTAACCACAGCGGTGATACCATCAAAGGATTGTTCATGTGCATATCTACTAATGTAATATATGTTCCACATTTCCATCAGGTGCACCTACACCACCAGAAAAATATCAGGAATATGAGTGCACACCTCCTTTACAAAATACTCTGAGGAAGGTGCACTCATCAGCTAGTGTAAGGATCCTGATTTAATTGTGCTGTTCTAGCCAGGGGAAATGGAAAAATAAATACACAGAGAAGAGGAGGGGCCCAAGGCAGCCACCTATGGGGCTTTTGCTGGGGAAGAGTTTGTGTCTGAATAATAATCAGATACATTTTTTTAAACAGAGCCTGCAGGAACTAGCCAAATCTCAGCTCTCACTGGGAGACTGAGCCCATTGGGCCCCATCTGGATTCCACAGCACACACACCCTCCATACACACATTTTGTGTCAGTAGCTCCTACCTTCCCTGAGAGAGACCAAGACTGGATCCTGCATCCACATCCAGGTTCCACACTTCCAAAAGCTGGTGACAAATCTAGAGGAGCTCAGAGAAGAGCCACAAGAAGGATCTGAGACTGGAGAACCTGCCTTCCAGAGAGAGGCAGAAGGAGCTCAATTTAGTTTATCCCAGAGAGGGGCAAGATCCCAGTCTCACAGCATCTCCATGGGGATGAGATTTCTTGGAGCAGAGGGTTCTCAATGTCACAGTAAAAAGATGAGCTAGAGCCAAGGGCTGGGAACCAACACCAGACACAGCATGGAACTGAGGGTCACATGTTCAATGGGGAGAGAGGACTTACATTTGGAGCACCTGCTCTAGGGATAGGGGAAGGGGTTCTCCATCATGTGGGGTCTTTCTAAAAGCTCAGGGCCTGCATAACCAGCAGCTGTGGGTGGGGTGCAGGAAGCCCTGTTGGGAAATACCCAGTGTGGATGATACAGGAGTCAGAATGGAGAATCAGAAGGCCCTTTGGCCTTTTGAGTCACCCCCCTCCACCCCTGGTAAATCCTGAGGCAAGGGAGTTCTGCTGCTCACCCACTGAGGCTAGGTCTAGACTACACTCTTTTATCGGAAAAAGCCATGCAAATTGTGCTCCCCAGTTTGCGTATCTTTTTCCGATTGCTTTTCTGGAAGAGGCTTTTCTGCCATTTGACGCCATCTAGACCGCAGAAGACATGAGGGAGCAGAGGTTTGGGGGATCACAGGAGCAGGTTGTGGGGGGGGGGGCACAAGTTTCCCAGGGCCTAGGTCTAGACTACACTCTTTTATCGGAAAAAGCCATGCAAATTGTGCTCCCCAGTTTGCGTATCTTTTTCCGATTGCTTTTCTGGAAGAGGCTTTTCTGCCATTTGACGCCATCTAGACCGCAGAAGACATGAGGGAGCAGAGGTTTGGGGGATCACAGGAGCAGGTTGTGGGGGGGGGGGCACAAGTTTCCCAGGGCGGGTGCCTTTGA